GTTCTGCCGGGGATGGAAGGCAGCCTCCATCCCAGCTGGTGGCAGGTGTTCGGACAGATCCCAGGGGAGCCCTGACGCAAGGTGGGGGTGGGGGGCAGTGTCATGACATGGGGTCCCCCCCCCAGCACCCCTTGAGCTGGGTCTGAGGACTGCAAAAGGTGTGCGAATCAGTCAGACTCGGATCTGGGCATTCCATGTGGGCGTCCCTGGCCCGCCCTGAAGTTTTCTGAGCCTCCAGTGAGTCTCAGCCTAACCTGCTTATCGGGGTTGTTAGCACCAGAAGTGGGCAGGAGAGCCACCTGTCTTCCGGTGGGCGCCCCCCCCCCCGGACTTTGCAGGGCAGGCAGGTCACAGCAGCAGACGGGGCTCCTCCGCGGGGCAGTGGAGGAAGGGCCCGGCTGGGTCGAGCTTTCGTCTGGGACACGCAAGCTTGTGTGGGTCTTTCCCCCTTGATTCTTTCCCCACGCTCTGGATCTGTGGATGAAGCTGAGCCGATGCGACGTGGACCCTGCGGACCAGTCTTGTGACGGAGGCCCCATGGCGGCAGAGGTGCGTGGCGGGTAGTGCGCTCCTGGTGGATTGCCCCGGGGCAGGGCTTGCCGTGGCCACCAGCGGGGTCAGTCCCTGGGCTGTGCGGGTCCTTCTGCCCACACGCCCCAAACGCTTGGGGGCCCTGCTGCCGTTTGCTTCTGTTAAGTGACTGCCTGGGAGACGACGGGGCGTGTTTTTGACACCCAGGAAATGCATCCTGCAAACTGTGATCCCCCCCCCATGAAGGCTGGAAACTGTTTTGCAAATGAAACGTCTGCTGTTCTCGTGACCCCACAATGGAAAGCCCACGAGGACAGCCAGCGTGTGTGGGGTGGGGGGTTGCTTCCCTGCCTTCTGTGGGGGGGGTGGCTGTGTGTGTGTGGGGAGGTCAAGATCCCCTTTTCTCTCTGCCAAACCGCTCCCCCCGTGCTCAGTCTGGAAGGGAAGAGCTGCCTGTCCCCAGAGCTGGGGGGGGAGGTGTTTGTCTCTCTCCCAGGCAGTCCCTCCTCGGCCCCCGGGAGCCCCTGCTTTGCCTTCTGAGTGCCCGGACCCGTTCCTTTCTCCCCCCCTCCCCCGCAGGAGCCCCGTCCCAGCCTGCTGCCCCTGGTCCCCCCGCTGCTGATCTGCCACGCCACGGGGCTCGCCCTCTACTTCGTGCCCATCCTGGGGCAGCACATGGCCACGCAGCACTTCCCCGTGTCCGAGTCGGAGGCCGTGGTGCTCACCGTCATCGCCATCTACGTGGCGGGGCTGGCGCTGCCCCACAACACACACAGGTAAGGGGGGCACAGAGGGAGCTCTGGCTGCTCTTCCCCCCACACGCAGAGGGCCCGGGCTGGGGGCTGCGGAGCCAGAGCCCCTGAGAGACACTCCTTGCCCGAGGCCAGGAGGAAGGGGGCGGGGCGGGGCTGGCTGTGGTGGGGGGCCTCTCTGGACCCCATGGAGACACGAAGCTGCTTTCTCGCGAACCAGACCGTCCACCCCTCAAGGTCAGTAGTGCCCGGGCAGACGGGCAGCGGCTCTCCAGGGTCTCTGGGGGGGGGGGATGAGTTCTTGTGTCACAGCGCTTCCCGCCTGGTTCCTCTTACCCGGAGACGCTCCCGGGGATTGGACCTCCCTCCTGTGTGCCGAGCAGATGTCCTGCCACTGAGCCACAGCCTCCCACCCCCCACGTCAGCGGAGGGTTAGGGTGTGGCCGGGCCACGTATGGAGCGGCTGCGTGTTTGTGCCCTGCGCAGGGTCCTGACGGGTGCAGGCAGCGACCGCGGCTGGATGATGTTGAAGCTGCTCTCCCTGCTGTACCTGGCCATACAGCTCGGCTGCATCGCCCTCATCAACTTCTCTCTCGGCTTCTTGCTGGCCGTCACCATGGTGCCTGTGGCCGCAGCCGTCCAGCCCACCGGGCCCAAGTACGTACCGGATTTTGGGGTGGGGGGAGTCATTACAGTCCCTTTCAGCTCTTGCTCCTCCCCCACCCCTCGGCTGAGCAGCCGCAGCCCTGGGGGGAGACGTCCCGTGGAAGGGGGTGGGGTGGGGAACGGTGTCAAGCCACATCTGACTTGCGGCCACCCCGTAGGGTTTCCAAGGCCCGGGACGTTCAGAGGTGGGTGGCCGCTGCCCGCCTCTGCCTTACGGCCCTGGGTTTCCTTGCTGGTCTCCCGTCCAAGTACCGACTGGGGCCGACCTTGCCTACCTTCCAGCATCTGCCCCCCCCCCCCCCGGGCAGGGGGCTGGTGGGCAGTGTTCCCTCTAAGCTGAGTTTGTGTGAGTTCGCTCACGGTTCTTGAGCCTCCAGCTCACACATCTTTGTCTTAGCTCAGGAAGGAGGAGGCTCCAGAGCAGACTAATCCATGCAGCAGCCAAATTGCTCGCTCACAACTTTAATGCCAGGAGCTCACAAAGTAGATTTTTTGCTCACAAGACTCCACAGCTTAGAGGGAACACTGCTGGTGGGTAGCTGGAATTAGAAGCCCCTGAGTGGCTGAGACATTCTCCTCCTCCTGGCTTCTGCCCTCCAAGAGCTGGCACTCCATGAAATTGCTGAGCGGTCGGGTTAGAACAGATAAAAGGAAGTCCTTCTTCACCCAAAGAGTGAATCACACATGGAATTCACTGCCACAGGAGGTGGTGGCGGCTACAAGCATGGACGGTTTCAAGGGGGAATTAGATAAGCATATGGAGCAGAGGTCCATCAGTGGCTATCAGCCACAAAGTATAGATAGGGACTCTGGGGCAAGTGATGCTCTGTCTTCTTGGTGCTTGGGGGGGGGGGCAACAGTGGGAGGGCTCCTAGTGTCCTGGCCCCACTGCTGGACCTCCTGATGGCACCTGGTATTTCTTGCCACTGTGTAATAACAGAGTGTTGGACTGGATGGGCCACTGGCCTGATCCAACATTGGCGTCTCTTATGTTCTTATGCCCATCTTCTGGTGCCAGTCTGTGCTCTGAGCCAGTCAGCGGTTGACTGGGAGGGTTTGGTTTGTTGGACGCCCTTTCTGAGGAGTGAAATCTGTTGTTGGTGCCGAACGTCGCACTGTTCTTTGAGTTCAGAAACACCAAGTGTCTCTTCAGTCATGGGATAGGTACTAGGTGGAAGAAACTACTTTGCAGAGCAGTTTTTACACAAGGAATCTGTTCCCGTGTACCGTTCCGTGGAAGCACAGCCCCTTCTGACGCACTCGCTGAGGGGCAGCCTGGGTTTTGCTCCCCCTGAGAAACACCTGGGTTTCTCGGCTTTGTTCCTGGGCCCTCTGCGGAGCAAGGCATCGCGGAGGAAAGAGGTCCGGCCTTTTCCCGTGGGGCGGGGGAGATGCGTGCAGGGACTGGGCATCCTGGCTGTGGTCTTGCCCCCTGCCCCACTCACCTGCCCCCCCCCCCCCCCAGGGCGCTCCAGGCCGTGCTGCTGGTGCTGGTCACGCCGGCCGCCACCCTGCTGTTCGGCATCTTCCTGTACCACGAGCTCATCGAGTACCCCATCTCCGTGCTGGAGGGCTGGCAGCGGTTCCTGCAGGCCATTGCGGAGGGGCTCCTGGACCACCACCTCTACGGCTCCGTCGTCTTCCCCTTCGTGGCCCTCTTCGTCTACCCCTGCTGGCTCCTGCTGTGGAACGTCCTCTTCTGGAAGTAGCCCTCCCCAGGCACAGCAGGCTCCACGCTGGAAACTGGCAGCTGACCCTCGGAGGGCGAGTGGAGGCCGATGGACCACCGTTGAGTCTGCAGAGGGAGGCCGGAACGCCGCCCTCTTGGACCTGCTTGGCCCCACAGCGGCTGCCTGGAGGGTTGGGGGACTGGGGCACAGGAGTGGGGCGACTGACAGCAGAGGGGGGCTTGAAAGGACAGGCCTTGGCCAGGAGAGCGGGATTCTGGCCCCTGCAACTGGAGCAGGACCGCCCGTGTTCCAGTGGGTGAGGTGCTGTTGTCCCCCCCCCCTTCCACAGGAGGGGCCAAGGAGAGGCTGATCCTGTCTGGGCAGCCCCAGCCAGCCTGCGGTCCAAAGTCTTCCTCCTGAGGCCAGGGGCCCGCACTGGGGCTTCGTACTGGGGGTCCCAGGTGCTGCGGTGGGGGGGGGGCAGATGAGGGTGTGTCACAGGTGGCAGTACAGCCTTTGATGTGAAAATAAAGAGAGATGGCTGTGAGAGAAGTCTGGCTTTCCGTTCGTATTCCTCCCAAAGTCTGTATCCTGCCAGATAAAACGCTGCCGCTCTCAGGGGCAACTGCCAGCCATTCCAGGTACTCTGTGTAACGACCGGTGGATTGAGAATCATTAAGCGCTGGAAAGGACCTCCGGGGCCATCTAGTCCAACCCCCTGCACAAGGCAGGAAATTCACAACTACCTCCCCCTCCACAACCGCAGGGACCCCTGTCCCACGCCCAGAAGATGACCAAAAAACCCCTCCAGGATTTGAACCCAGACTCTTGTCTGACAAAGGGAGCTTCGACGCTTGAAAGCTCATCTCCCCCCCCCCCCCCCCGGAAATCTAGTTGGTCTCTAAGGGGCTCCTGGACTCTGGCTGCCCAACTGCAGACCAATGCGCCAACCCTGCGGGACGACAGAGCCAGACAAGACCTCCGAAAGCCCAGCAGGAGCTCAGTCATCTCCCCTTCCCCATAAGAGCAGAGCCTCTTCCAAAAGACACTGAACCCCCTCAGGTGCACCTCTCAAGCAGGGAACTGAATGGCACCGGGTAGGGGGCCAACCCAGCCAAGGCCCTGCTTGTCTCAGGAGCTGGGCGCCCACAAAGCAGAGCACAGGAAGAGCGAGGGTCAAGGGAAAGGCCCACCCACTTCTCGGGGGGTTGCCTGGTGCCCAGCAGAGCTCCATGCACAGGCTCTGAATGCCTTTGGAGAGCAGCCGCCCGCCTGGCTGCACTTTTTAGCTGCTTCTCAAGGGCCCAGGCCCACAGAGGCACAGCCCGGCACTCGGTGCAGCTGAGAAAGCGGCCTCGCCTGGGCAGGATGAGCCCACAGGGGAGGGCGGGGTAAAAATGCTTAAATAAATAAATAAACGCCTCATTGCTTGCCCGCCTCACGTGCACCTAGGTTCTGAAATGCCACCCAGAATCAGTCAGATTTTATTAATGGTCCACAGCCAGTATTTACATAAATACTACAACATTCACAGGTAAGAAAAACGATAAAACAATAACTTGAATAAAATAATCTAAAATTAGATGCACAAATTTAAAGTTCATACAAGACGGTTATACAAATCAGGTTCCTACCATTCCTTGAGAAAGAAGAGACTGGGTTTATACCCCTGGCCCTTCACTACCCAAAGGTGTCTCAGAGTGGCTTACAAACACCTTTCCCTCCCCACAACAGACGCCCTGCGAGGCAGGTGGGGCTGAGAGCTCTGATGGAAACTGCTCTTTTTCAAGAACAGCTCTTGCCAGAACTATGTATTGCCCAAGGTCATCCAGCAGGTGCAAGTGGAGGAGTGGGGAATCAAGCCCGGTTCTCCCAGATTAGAGTCCACACACTTAACCACTGCACCAGACTGGCTTTCATTTGAAGAAGAAGAGGAGAAGATTGGATTTATTCCCTGCCCTTCACTACACAAGGGAGTCTCCGAGCAGCTTACAAACGCCTTTCCCTTCCCCTCCCCACAACAGACACCCTGTGAGGGAGGCGGGGCTGAGAGAGCTCTGAAAGAAACTGCCCTTAAGATAACAGCTGTGCCAGAAATACGGCTTGCCCAAGGTCACCCCAGCAGCTGTGAGTGGAGGAGTGGGGAATCAAGAGTACGGACTCTCATCTGGGAGAACGGGGTTTGATCCCCACTCCCCCTCCACATGCAGCTGCTGGTGTGACCTTGGGTCAGTCACAAGTTCCCTCAGAGCTGTTCTCTCAGGAGCAGTTCTCGGGAGAGCTCTCTTAGCCCCACCGACCTCCCAGGCAGTGTTCCCTCTAAGCCGAGTTAGGGTGAGCTAGCCCACAGTTCTTTAGCCTCCGGCTCACACCTTTTTGCCTTAGCTCAGGATAGATGGCTCCGGAGCTCGCTCGCTCACAATTTTCAAGCCAGCAGCTCACAAAGTAGAACTTTTTGCTCTCAGGACTCCACAGCTTAGAGGGAGCATTGCTCCCAGGGTGTCTGTTGTGGGGAGGGGAAGGAGACTGTGAGCCGCTCTGAGACTCCTCCGGGTAGGGAAGGGCCATGGGGTATAAATCCAGTCTCCTCCTTGTACCACGGCTGCCTGCAAGCCCACTGCTGCGGGGAAGTGGTTTCGGGGTGGGGTGCTCGACTGCCTTCCTGCCAAGCCCGTAGTTACAGTGGGGCAACTTGGGGCTAGCCCCCCCCCCCGACTTCCCATCCAGCCCAGCCCCCCCCGCAATAGCAGGTGCGGGGAAGGAGCGGAGGATTCCTGCACAGCTGTCTGGCGTGAAGGACCAGCTATGGTGGCCACGTGGAGCCAGGAAGCACCTCTCCATTTCCTCCAGAATCTGAATTAAGGCCCCCTAAGGTATCTGGATGCCCCCTGGCCACGGGACTGCTTCCTGCCCCGACCAAACCTCCCGCCTGGGCACCGGCCTCTAACGCGCCGAGGATTCCCCTTCCTTCCGCCGGGCAGCAGGCGAGCTGGGGAGCCGCCACTGCCCAGGCCCTGCTCCCTCCTGGCCCCGGGCATTGCGGGGGAGGGGGGGTCACTGGGGAGGAGGGCTCGCCGCCCCCCTCGCAAAGGCCTTCCCACCTCCCTGCCGGGGCCTTCCCACGACAGCCCGGCCGGGTGGGCCGTCCGCCGACGGGAGGCGGCGGGGCCTGAGCGCGCACGCGCACTCCTTCCCGGAAGTCCGGAGGCGGCGGGCCCGCCCCCTCCCGCGCGC